AAGTGTTACTGCGTACTAGGTATATATTTGCACACTACTTTGATAAGTTTACAGTACGTTATTTTGTATATGAACGATCTTTCTTACATTTGAGTGATGCTATGAATTTAACATGTGTACCGCGCAATATGTCATAGCTTTTCAGTCATGCTCAATATATCCAACCGGCCCGAGGTTGGAGAAGGCGACTAAAGCTACTTTCATATTCCAGAAGTGCATGTAAAGTTTCTTTAACATGATGTCTTTTTTGGACGTGAAAAAGATTATCTTTTATGCACGATACAATTTTTTGGCGTCAGTTGTATCATTCTGGAGAGAAGTGTGCGTTGTAGACATAGCTTAGCGGGGGTTTTACATTAAATTCTGGGAGTTGATGGCTTGAAACTTAAGTGAAAATGAAGCTTGTTGTACTTAGTACCAAGATATCCCAAGGGAGATAATATATTTTAACTTTGTTCCGTTCTGAATGATAATATCAGGAGATTATGATATTTATTGATGTGATGACAATAACTTATAAGTGTAAAATTATTGCTTGAATTTATAAAAATAAATATGAACAATGCCTTGAGAGAATTATCTTGAATTTGTTGAAATTGAACCCTATTGAATATAATTGTGATTTAGAAATTAAGAAGCTTTGGCTGATGTTAATTGTATATTTCTTTACAAACAAGCTAATCTAGATAACATGAAATTTAAATTATACATGTATCCACACAACATGAAAATGTAAAATATTAAAATTAATTAAATATACAATTATACCACAATACTTTCATTCAGGATATTTTATGAATGTATTTTTGAAGATCAACCACATTTATTTTGAATTTTTGTATATAATTTGAAATGAAAATAATACTTTCTCCATTTTTTAAAAAAATTCTAGTGAATAATTATATAACTACGAAGCTAATCTTCCAAAATTTAGTTCAACGATTGATCATTATAAAAATAGAGTTAATCATATTAAATTGATTTATAAATTTTTTGGCATGAATGTTTATGTTATATTAGATGAATTTCAGATTTTGTTATACTACATCAAAGTATTTATTAAAATTTCATTTGATCAAGTATGTTTAGGTTTCAAACAAAATTTGTATCCCATTGATGACATGGAGGACACATGATAAAGACTGAATTTTTGTGGAAAATAGAATACATTAAAAAAACAATGAACCATTATTTGATTTATAATTTTTATTAATAGATGGAATTGATTAGAATAAGATTATGCTATTAAATATAAAATTTTATTATTTATTTGATGACTTTTAGATTTTATTGAAATGATCATACAACTAAATGAATCTTGAATATAAAATAAATTATTGACTTTTCATGTATAGTCAAATATCTAATTTTTTATAGTTCAAGTTGAATATTTCGTTGAGTCTATAAATAAATGTAAAGAAGCTTTATATTATATCAATTAGTTGACTCAAAGAAAACGGCGTCTTACTGGATACAGTACTGAAATGAGCTCAATGGATACAGTGCCCGCACTTGCCGATGTTAGCGTCACGTTCTCACTTCCATCACCTTCGATTCGAATCGATCTTCCGCGTCAGCCGAGTTTCGTTTCGGCATGAAAGCGGAATCAACTATTATCGATTCCGCTACAAGATGTCTACCAAACGTTAGGGTTTCTGTTATCGCTGTGAGTGAATGCGCTCCCCACCTCGTCAACACTGAGTCCGCCGATAAGTCCAGGACCGAATTCGGATTTCAGTTGCTCTTACAATTCATAAAGATTTATTTCAATGCAAATCAGAACTATTCAGTTTTCTTTTCCTAATCACTTGTTTAATAGGTGGGGTATGCAGCTTCAAGCGCATCTAGGCGAGAAAGGATTTGTCAGCGCTGGGTATCGGTAGCGCCCCACGGGCATAGTCAGCAGCAGGTGAATTAGTTGAGTATAGAATCAGATCGAATAAGTATAGAGTCTACTGAATGGATTCCCCGTTCTTGATTCGTCTCTGATATATATATATATATATATATACAGTATATATATATTCCTGCTTGGTTATACTAGAAGCTATACGTGTCTACACGTAACGCACTTAAACGTGAATTGCTACTGAATCATATTTTGAGCTCCGAGTCTGGAACATCAGCAAATACACTAATATACTGAAAACCTTTCGGTCTGAATGCAGAAAAGTTTTAATCAAAGAACTCTTAAACCGATCAGAACTTTAATTCGTTGATATGGATTGCAAACGTTAGAGTAGAATAACGGATTTGATTTTCGAGTTCATCAAGTGGTGCTGATTCATACGAGACGTACGTAGATTCTCTTCCACTGCATCTTCATGAACATTTTGGAAAGACTTTACCGGGTGGACTACCTGCGATGTAAATTAGTCTCTCATTCATGGAACTCCATTCTCAAGAATAATCTTCTCAGAAGTCGATCCTCGGTGGCCATTTCCTCTTTCGAGGCAGACGGGCCAGGTTTGGTGGTTACCTACGAAATGACATTTTTGCAAGAAGAGTCCACAGCATTTTGCATATTCCGGTTTCTGTGGAGTAAGCGATGGGACCAGCTCTCATTGAGAAGTCGGAGCTCACACCCTACTTCCACCCAAGGGAATTTGATCGCCACGACAAATGGTCTATTTCTCATGTGCAGAGGTGACAATGAGCGCAAGTACCTCTTATACAACCCAGTCACCAGAACAGTTGAAGAATTGCCTCGTGTGCCAAAACTGTTAGTGAGTGCTGAACTTCAGATGCCAGGGACATACATCTTGAGGACTGTGGAAATGGTGACTCCAATGGGAACTTGCGGCACGACATCCAGACTTTGGCCGAAGGTGATTGCCTTCGAGCGTTATTCTGCCGGACGGGGATCAGATACCCTCAACATGTGGAGGTTTGTAAACTATGATGATAACTCCAGTGATTAGCAAGTGGTCTCCATGCTCTACAATTGTTCCACCAAACTCAAGAAACTTACCACGACCTTGAGACTTCTACCCGCTGGTGATGATTTCTATATCCATTATCGAGAAGGAGGTCAAGCTCAGAAACTGTGCTACGGTGGGAGGAGGGATATTCATCCTCTTGACCTCCGTGAAAGGACCAAGGACCATACTAAACAAACATCATTTCCAGCCCTCCCAGCTTTAGGGACTGATGACGCAGTGCGAATTTCCATGGAAAATACTAAAGCTACTGCTTTCGAGCTCCATTTATTGAAGCTGCAGGTCCTCAAGTGCCGATGCCGCAATTTCGTTGTAGCCAGGGCCTAAGTCCAAGACTTTCAATTTTTCCGCAAGACAGTTTAAACCGGATCTCAGTCCACGATCAAGTCGATATATGCTTGATTCATATTCTACTGACTGTCTACAGATGGGCTAGACTAATGGGCATCTCCGGAATATTCGAGCCTGTTCTTCATCATGTTTACCTTACCAAATGTTTATATGCCACAAAGATCTCCCCCATTGACCAACTCGACGCCCTCCGTTTCCGTCGGCTTCCACCGAGAAAGAAGCTGGGTTTCGATCTGCTGAGAGAATAAACACTAATTCGTGGTGGCAGTCAAAGTGGCTTCTGAGGTGCAGCGTTGAGTCCTCCAACTTTCCATACGGAAAAGCCCTGCCAATGTCTGAGTCTTTGTACTTCCGATAGGAACTCTCGGTACATGGCAAGATTGAAGTGTCCACACTGGCCATGAGGAGGCTGATCCTCGTACGCTGAGATGTAGGCAGTACTTGTCGGATACAACTGCACTCACATCACGACCATAAGAAATGACTTCAGACAAACAACACATTATGTCAGACTGCTGAACTCAAGTGATACAATAGAATCTTCCTGGAAGGTGTCACCTGATTCCTAACACGTAATTAGCTTGCTCCCAAGCTCGACCATCAACTCGCTCATCCCAATGCTTATGTCTGTCTGAGCCCACGTAATTACAACAAAGATTCGGGAAATTGGGATGACTGGCTGCGAAAAAACTCCGTGTCGCAATGTCTATCATAATGCATATTATCCAGTAACCAATGTTGTGGTTCTTACCGATCATGATAGGCTGTCGATGAACTCTCAGGTCAAGGACACAACGTTCGAGCCATAGTTCCAGCCTCATCTTGGGCAAAGACATGAAAACTCACATCGTGCATTTCGTGGACAGCTGGAGTTCTGTCGAATTCATCTTTGGTTACAGTAAGCGCTCACATTCTGAAAACATTCCGTCACGAGCGTGCTTGTCACAAATTTTGAGATCGAGTCACAAAATTTCAGGTCCAATTGTGTCGGCTGTGGACTGAACTGCAGTGATGCCCCAACTAAAGCCATGAAGAACACCGTCCGAGCAAAGTCAGTTCAGAAGTGCAAGAAGTTTTTCAGAAGCTCGAGGAAGCACTGAAATTTTCTCCTTGTTTTCAGTCCGCCAGATGAAGGAGGTAGTAGTGACTGTACTTAAATCAAACTCACGAGGAAACTTTAACCTTTCGGCATCCGTTTTTGCACGAGCACTTTCTTCCCCATTTTCTTCCATGAGAGGACTGAGGGAGACTATATTATAATTCTTGTGCTGCAGGCGCTCAAATCTCAACAGGTTAGTTTTAGCTTTTGCGTTCTAGCAAACCTGCCCGAAGTCATAGCAAGAGTATGGGGCAAGGCTCTCCAGTTGACAACTTTCAAGCTACGCCGATCTGAGCACATAGTACAATGATTGTAAACATTCAATCAGCTGCATCATGGAACTATCTTGTTTCATGTCCAGGATTTCTTGATTGAATAACAATATTATATTTCAAAACAATGAGAAACAATATGTATTTTAATGTATTTTAAATGGGATGAAACTCTCAATGAAAACAATAAATTGTATCGGACTTTATTGACTATAAAACCTGTATACATGGGGTACTTTGTTCAGGCACTGAAGACTACTATAAATTTTCTCCTTCAGACGAAAGGAAATTTCCATCACATATTTCTATAACAATAAAAAACAGCTCCCGACTTTTCGGTCCAGATTGCGCACAGCAGATCACTAGTCTTCGTCCAACTCGCATGAGATTTCAGCAAGGCAGTTGCCACGCTTCCAGCAACTAGGAAAAATTCATACGTATTAGGTACGAGAAACCGCCAATAAATGTCAACCCATGGCTTGAGCAATACTCATAAAACAAAAAGTTTCAAAAGTCCTAATAATGTCCAAAAAGCAGGGGAATCTGTTCCCGCTAAGGTATACTGCAAACTTTTTCACCTCTAAGTCAATCGTAGGATGCAAAAGCCTGAACTGACTGCTACCACCATCTATTAAATATTGCTCCATAAAAATTACTCTATCAAGTCGAGCGCTGATTTAATCCGTGAAGTCTGAAACAATGTGCGCCTTACAGTACTCTTGAAATGTGGAGTGTCGCTAAAGATGTATTGATATGACTTGGAATATTGAAAACTGATCACATTATCGTAATCTTTCCGCGGTAGCCAGTTGATTTGGAGCATTTACAATACCAACGAGTTTTAGAAAATTGACCCAGGGGAGTTGAAAGTAAACTAAGAATTCCCAGAGTTATCTTCACGTCTGCCTTATGTTGGATGTTTTGTAGTCTTTGACAAAGTGAAGAGACTGGTCTGCTGGTAGGCCCTCGAGCCCACTGTAGACGCTCTGAACAGCTCAGAGAGTAATAAAATCTGTAACAAGAAAACGATCATGTGCGAGTCGGTCAGGTCTGGCACATGATCGTCAAGCTTAAATAAATAAGACGGAAGACGTATAATAAGCTTATAGGAACAAACTTCTCATTACCAGGAAAGAAATCTCTTCTCCAGACTCTTTATTTTGAAGGTGCTAATCGGTAGTATGGGAGTTCGCATTGTGTACATGAGTAGAATTTCTGTTGTTCTGTCCCAAATCAAAAGTGACGAAAGTCATGCACCTAAGGCGATCCGCCCCCAATAACCGTCTCAAGTCAGTGCACCCACAAAGATGCTGGACTTCTTCAGCATAGTGCCCTGATCATGAGCTCGAAGTGAGGTGAGCTGTCCAGATCGGCTGTGGTAACAGGACCACGTATACGACTTCATTGTGTGATGCTTCGAATTGATAGTTTTGAGAAGTTTGCCACTAGTGTGCTCAAATTATCTCCCCAGCAAACCCTGAGAGCGAGCCTTCCGCAATTCAAACTGGAGATTGGGCAGATGCATTTTTGCTCCTTATAGTACACGTCTACGTTCTCTCGATCTCGTAATCTGCATCATGAGGTCACCTTACAAACCATTTCGGATTCGGATGTCCCCGAAGGGACAACTAGAGCTGTGTGTCCACGAACCAAAACAACAGAAACAAAGAAGTGGATCTTTCAAACACCGCTTGTCGAAGGGTCTTGATAAGGCACAAACATCTCTGACACAAATCCGTGTTACATTACTAGCTCTGACATTGAGGTAACGCTTACCCGGCCATCCAATCTCACATGAAATCGCCACGATTCGCGCCATCGAGCCGTCTATTCCTTCGATTTTGAAGCTGGCTCCTTCGTGCTGCAGTCAGTTCCAGCGATATGGCTTTAAGCTGAAGCAGAAAGAGCGGTTGCTGCTCCTCGGGCATGTAGTCAGCTCCTTCGCTCCTTGAAACCGGGAACCCCGTCGCTTGTATGTGTACTTAACAACCGGAAGAGATTTGACTTCCGAGGTTGTAAAGATTTGCGCAGCTGTTGTGATTGTAGAGTCGATAGTAGCTAAAGGTCAACTCTCTCAGATGACTAATTGACTTCCAGCTGAGGTATAGGGACGTCAAGGCGTATACTGCAAATATGCAGAGTTTGTATGGAATCCATGTCTTCTGAGATCGTCCAACCCTCAGATCCAACTCACACTTCAGAGCGAAGGAGATTCGCAAGCGCAGAGCCAACTTCATACACCCCAACCGATTGGATTCGGTGTGGTGGAACTGGTCTGTGATCGTGGTGAGCACAATTCAGGATAAAAACTCTATTTCTTATCAGAAAGCAACAGATTTGTACTGTCAATTCTTGGACAAAGATGATTATGCCCTAGGCGTGTAGACACAGTTCTCGGTGGAAAAATTGAGCTCTTTGCTATCGCTAAGAGTGACAGTGCACAGAGGACAGTGCACAAGATATGTCGACTCGAGGTGTTGGCCATGTTTCTTTATTGCATGCATATATAGCACTGTAAACATCGGCAAGTAGTTCTAGCTTTACAGAGTTCAGATATTTCAATGAGATCTTTCGAAACCAAGTCAGAAATCTTCTGGATTAGATGGATTCTCGAGTGTTGTTTATAATAAAGAATTCCCAAATCTGTAACCGAATGGATTTGCATTCAGAAATTCTCACTTTCTCAGGAGCTACGATAGCAATAAATTTAACATCTCGACTGTCTGTTCAATGACAATGACTTGACCTCATCTGCTTTTACATCTACGCTGGACTGTGTTCTTCTTTTTGTGAATGGACTGTTCAAGTTGGTGTGAAGAGGAGTTCAACTGTTGTGGTACCCCACTTTTGGTAATTTTGCGGAAATTAAAACATTTTTGGAAAAAACTGTACCCTGTCAGCAATGTAAATAGCCTTCGGTGCATCAAAACAGAGTGAATCCGGAAGATCGCGGGGATTCTCGAGGGATCTTGTAGAATCTAGGATTTGGGGTGCAGCAGTAAGGATGGGCACCACCTTCCCTGCGAGCTCTGCAGTTAGGATCCCTACGGCGCAAGGCGCAAAACCCGCCTTCGGAAGTTGCGTCCGCGGCGGTAGGGAAATCCTTCATATTTAGGTCAACCCTCGGGCGCCTTGACCGAGTTAGGGTCTCGTTGGAAAGAGCTCGACGCACTGATTCCAACGAGTCCAAGAACGCTTGGAACGGATGAGGACTTAGGGAGTTATCACTATTGGAAGATACGTAGACGTTCGCCTTCGGCGGAAGGAGTTCGCCACCGGCGGGAATTACGCCTACGCGGAAGGGGGATCAAGTTTTGCCCTATGCGCGGACGAAGGAAGTTCGCCTGTGCACAGGCGAAGTAGGGTTTGAGGAGGCGCGAAGTCCGCCTACGCACAGGAGGTCACCTGTGCACAAGCGCTTCGGCGTCGGCGGGAAATCCGCCTTGGGCCCTAGAAATGCGCCTTGTGAGGTAGGAAGTGTACGGCGCCTTCTGCGCCAGCACAGCGCCGCGGACAAGCAAGGAGCCGCCAGAATAATCAAATCCGTACGGACCATGCGGACGGGACGGGTGGATGCGCTCTTGGACGGACGGAGTTGCGGCGGCGGAAGCGCCGACGAAGAGACAAGGAACGGACAGTCTGGACGGAGACGGCTGACCACGGTCAACGCCTTCCGCGCCAACGCGTCGCCGCGGACGGAATTCGCCTGCGCACAGGCGAGCGCCTATGCACAGGAGGATGAAGTTCCGCGCCGGCGGAGAATCCGCCGAGGAGTCTGCCTGCGCACAGGCAGGAGTTGAACTTTTGTCCGACATGCGGACACACGCGTCGAGGCAGAAGGGGATTGGCTGAGGAGCGATACGAACAAGTGTACCGCGCAAGGCGGAAAACTCGCCTTCGGCGCTGCGCTCCCATGTCCGCGGAGTAGTACGCTCGCGGGGTTCAAATCCGCCACTTCGAGCGTGAGAGTTTAATCGGCGACGGCGGAGCGTGAAGCCGCGCGTGAGAGCGGAGACCGTTCCAGCGTAGAGCCGGCGCGGCCATCAAGTGAGACGTCTTCCACGAGCAAGAGCCGACCATGACCTTCGACCGGGCGGCGGAGAGCGTCCCATTCTTGAATTCGCGATTCCACTCTCTTGTGCGAGCTGCGCGCGTCCATCTGCTGGCTGCTAAGCATTCTCGACGTCGCCGCACAGAGGATTTCTTGGTGATTGAGGGAGAAGTGAGTGCGCGTGATTTGGAATTGAGGGCGATTAGAGTTTGCCGAGAGAGAAAGGAGCTCGAGCGGTGCGGAAGTAGAATGAGCGGGCGAGCGAACTCCAGGAACGCAATGACGAGACCGGGCAGATTGCGGATGCTGCCGCTTCGTCTACCACAGAACGGGCTGCGCGCTTTTGAGGAGCGCTTGATAGCAAGAAAGCTCGATTTCTTGCTATGGGGATGGAACTACATCTGTGCGGATATGGTGCGCGAGTGGCTAGAGCCACAGGGACCACCCTCGCGCGGATTGCGTCCGCATGTTGATCGGTGGACAGTCCAAGATTGGGCGCAGGCATTGGGAAGATGTGCCGGCATGCCAGGGCATGTCCTCTTCGACAGTGAGAGCATCAAGGTGACCAAGCAGGAAGAGGCGCAATTTGTGGAGCTGTTCAAGACCGGGAGGTCTACCAAGAATGGGTACAGGACCCGTGATTACAAGGATCGATTTCGCCTGACTTTGTCCGCGGCGCTGATGCAATTACTGCAGCCACACCGCGCCTGCTACATCACATTGTGGCAGGTCTCTTTTGTGGAGTGCGTCATCGAGGGAACTCCAATTCACTGGGCGAGCATCCTGCACAGGGTGATGCTACAGCACGCTTTTGAGGAGAAGGGGGGGACTCTAAACCATCTCTCTCCTTTCCTCATCAATTTTTATCGACAGCGGAATTGTTTGACAACAGCGGAGCTTGAGCATTTTCCGCCGTTGTCCGTCGACCATCCCGGGAAGTATGTGCGGGAGAATGAGGTCGACACTGATGCAGAGGAGTCACTGACTTCTACTCCATCAAGGCGGAGGGACGAAGGGAGAAACACTCCTGCAGCACGAGTGCCGCGGAAGCGGCGATGGAGAGAAGAGTCCGAAGAGGAGCAGCATCAAGAACCCTGTGCTCCTATTCGACCGCGGCCGTTGTACGAGTCATACAGCCGGCCGAAGCAGAAGGCACGCAGACTGGTGTTACCAGCCAACAGTGCGGACACGGCGACGATTGCGACGGAGAAAGGAAGTGCGTCGCCAGAGAAGCATGAGGAAGCGCGGACGTCCGCAGGAGCAACGGACCACGCTGCAGCCTCGACGGGCGAGAGGCCGCCTACGGGCCAAGGGCCTCCGGAGTTACCACGTGCGTTGCGGACAGGTGTTCCGTTTGCGCACAGACGAGACTCCGCGGACGGACGAGCCTCCGCGGACAGACGATCACAAGTGGACGTAGATCTACGCTTACGCGTGGGAAGGAGCAGTCCGCCTGTGCACAGGCGCTCGCCTGTGCACAGGTCACCTCCACACGTACCGCCTGTGCACAGGCAGGAATCACCCCCGTTCCAACGTAGGAAGGGGAAGGAGCCGGCGGAAGAGCCGCCTACGAGACACCGGCCTTCGGGGCCAGACCCTCCGGCGCACCACGCGCCGCGATTTGCGCCTTCGGCGCCAGGGCCTTCGAGCCGAGGAGATACGAGCAGGGAGTGTGCGGAGGCCACACTATCGGCGGGTAATCCGCCGGTAGATGCGCCTTCGGCGGTAGGGCCTCAGGGCCAAGGGACATCGGGCGAGCGGCCCCCGGCCATGTCGCCTTTGGCGATGGACGTCCGCGGCGCTACGCCTGCGGCGGACAAGGCGCCGGCATTTGCGCCTGCGCACAGGCCAAGCACAGCCCCCGCGGACCGATCAAGGGAGCAGCAACAGACGGAGGAGCGGAGTGACTGTCCGCGGGATGAAATTTCGATGCGCGATGCGCAATCAAACCCCGCGCAGCCACCCTCCGCTCGATCGCCTTCGGCGGCGGACGTCGGCGGCAGAGAGGACACGGTAGACGACCAACAAGCGGGCGGCGGGGATGCAGCACGGGCACATTCGCCTACCGCCTTAGACATTTTGGCGAAGAGCAGCGAGGCTGCAGCCGTGCCTTCGCAGGCAGCACACGTCGACGACGTGCAGCCCCACTCGGGTCAGTCGCCGACGCAATCAATGGCGACTGAAATTCTCCACTCGGATGCTGACGACGGAGGCTCCACCGAAGAAATGTCAGGAGCAGGGGACACCGAGGAGGAAATTGTTGGAGCGCCGGCGGCGGCGCTCTCTGAGCAGGTGATTCCGTTGCTGAGGTACTTGGATCGCAAAGTCGATAAATACGCCGACCCACTTCAGCCGGGATCTTACATCGAGTTAGTGCGCAGGCGGACTCGCACTAAAGTCCACACCAGCAAGCTACTAGCTAGAGTGGACCAGGAGTTGAGGGAATTGAAGGAGAAGCATGAATGCTTGTGGGGTCAGTATAAACTTAATCAGAAATTCTACAAGTACTCCGAGAAGGTGAGGGATGGGAAACTGGAAGAGCTCACCAAGGAGCAGGTGAAGGTCACAGAAGCACTAATTTCTGAGCAGGCCCAGAATCGGATTTTGTCAGAGGAGCTCGTGCGACAGACACGGTTGTTAGAACAGTGTCAGCTCGCACGGCAGGCGGATGAGGAGGTAATCCGCAGGCTACAGTCAGAGTGTGGCAAATTGAGAGCGCAACGTGCTGAGGCCGAATCGCAATTAGTGGTAGTTGAAGAGGATCGCAGGAAGGAGGCAGATCGCACAAAGGTGGAGACGGCGAGGCGTGTCGCCCACTGTCTCAAGGGCTACGCCCACTGGGAAGTGGCGGCGCAGGAGAAACTCACACTGCGTGAGTTTGAACTTCGCGCAGCCGGGTTGTTGTCAGGCGACAGTAGGAGTCGGCGGAAGGTAGCAAAGAAGCTCGATGCTTTTCTGTCGAAGGCGCAGGATACCATGTCCGCCCTCGAAGTGGAGGTGTCCGCGGCGTTGCAGCGATTGGGACTGCGCAGTCGAGCGGAAGACTGGCAGGGTAGGGAGTTAGTACGCGGCAGTCCGTCGCGCAGGAGACGTAGCACAGGTTCCGTGGAGTGTAGTGTAGCGTAGTGCAGCGTAGTGCAGTGTAGTGTTAGGTAGGACTTAGAAGGTATAAAATAGTTCCATGCGTTTTGCCTGGGGTTCTTTCCCATCAGAAGTGCAGATCAGGAACCCATTTCCTTTGCGTGTTTGTGTCCTTGAGTTCTGTCACCACACACGAGGAGTTACAACTTAGCGTTCCGCATTTTGTAGCTGAAGGCCTTCGGCCGAATGTTCAGAGCTAGTACATTGGTTAGAGACTTGAGTAGTTCGGAACTGCACCTGCGGGTGACTGCCGATGCTCAGAGCCAGTGACTAGTTAGATACTTGAACAGTTTCGCCCCTACACCTTCGAGTGTTTCTTTCTGATTGTACTCCTTTGGGATTTTTCCCCTGAATGCCAAAGTGAAGTTTTGCTAACTTCGTGTAAGCCTTGGTTGTAAATTCAGGTTACGCTGCAGCAGGTGCCTTGAGGGTAACCCCTGTAGTATTTCTGGGAATGACAAGTGCCTGAGAATTCAAACTCTTCAATAGACTGTTGTTGTGTTACTGGAATGTTTCTCAGTGAGTCCTTCAGTGCGGACCTGTGTTCTCTGCGCGTTTTGTGAGTTGAGAGTGTTGTTCACCGCGTATGAGTGACTTCGATCCGAAGTAGGCAGTCCAAACCGGGTTTCCTACACTAGCAGC